CTTAAAGCGAGCAAGAACTTAAACTCTCTTAAGAAGCAGTCTGGACTTTCCCCAGGTCTTACAACCATCTCCTCTACACCCGATTCAGAAGCCAGTTTTTACCATATTATCTGGCAGTTCCACGTCTGAGTATCTAGCCAAAGTAAATGTAATCACTATCTTGAAGTGATAACTATACCTCCATGTTCACTGCAGCACTATTCACAAGAGCCAAGACATGGAAACAACCTGTGTCCATCAATGGATGAATGAATTAAAAGAATGAGATGGCTGGCTGGCTGGCTGGCTGGCTAGATAGATAAATAGATAGAAAGACATTATTCAGCCATAAAAAAGGAAATATGCTGAGCAAAATAAGTCACACAGAGAAAGACACTGGATGATATCACTTACATGCAGAATCCAAAAGTCAAACTCACAGAAGCAAAAGGTAGAATGGTGCTTGCCAGGGGGCTGGGGGGAACGGGTGGGAGAAATGGGGAAATATTGGTCAAAGGGTACAAACTGCCAGTTATTCAATAAGTTCTGGAGATCTAATGTAGAGCATGGGGATGATAGTTAATATCCTGATGTATATTTGAAAGTTGCTAAGAGAATAGGTCTTAAAAGTTCTCTGGGGCACCCGGGTGGCCAGTCGGCTAAGCATCTGACTCTTGATCTCAGCTCAGGTATGATCTCACAGTTCTGCACTATCAGCAAGGAGCCTGCTTGGGATTCTCTCTCTCTCCCTCTCTGTGCCCCTCCCCTGCTTGCTCACGTGTGCGTGCACTTTCCCTCTCTCTCTCTCAAAATAAATAACTACACATTTACCAAAAAAATAACTTTTAAAAAGTTCTCAACACACACACAAAATTGTAGCTACACGAGGTGATGTGTATTAATTAAACTTACTCTGGTAATCATTTCACACATGCATATATCAAATCATCACACTGTACATCTTACAGTGTTTGTATGTCAATTTTGTTTCAACGAAGTTGAGGATCAGGAGGCCAGTTTTTTATCAGCTTGCCTCCCCAAATCTTTACACTGTATCCAACCATTACAGAGAAGATAGAGACACCTCTATTTCTTTTTGGCATCTGTATTTCAGCTATTTTTATGATATTTGATTAAACTCTGTGCGTATAATATCAAGGAGAGCTTCCATGGACAGATTTGGGGGAGAACATGTCTGCTTGTGGGAAGGCCTGCCTCTCAAGCTCGATGTGTCCAAGCTCCACAAGTGTCTCCAGCTGAGCCATAGGCATCTGTCAGCACATGGAGTGGACAAAGGGCAGCCACGCGGGAGACATGGTTAAATGGAGATCTGTTCAGCAAGCTTCTCCTCTACCTTCAGTGCTGGAGTGTTCTGACTTCCGGGGAGGTGAGGAACTCACCCAAGGTCAGACGGCTAATGGGCTTCTCTATTCCAAGTCTACACCCTGACCGTTGGGGGACCCAGGAAGAGTCTGGGGGAATGCTGAATGCACAGCAGTTCTTAACCTGTCGAAAAACTCCAACCAGAGAGAGTGGGAGCTGAATGATCCCCAAAACCCCTCCAACTCTGACCCTGTGAGGTTCCTCACCAGGGCTTTGTGTTTGGGACTAAAACATTGTGCTGTGTTTTAAACACCCCATCAGTGTACCTCTGCAACTGCACATTTAAGGAGATTTTAGGACATCATGTCAAAGTCTAGACTTCAAACTCAATATAAAAAGACTTGGGGTGCCTGGGTGGCTCAGTTGGTTAAGCATCCTACTTCAGCTCAGGTCATGATCTCACGGTTCGGTTCATGAGTTTGAGCCCCATGTCGGGCTCTGTGCTGACAGCTCAGAGCCTGGAGCCTGCTTCGGATTCTGTGTCCCCCTCTCTCTCTGCCCCTCCCCTGCTCTCACTCTGTCGCTCTCTCTCTCAAAAATAAAATAAACATTAAAAAAGTTTTTTTAAGTAAAACTGCTTTTATTTTTTAGAGAGAGAGTGCAAGCAGGGGAGGGGGGCAGAGGAGAAAAGAGAGAATCTTAAGTAGGCTCCTTGCTGAGCATGGGACTTGATCCCACAATCCTGCATCATGACCTAAGCTGAAATCAAGAGTCAGACACTTAGCCAACTAAACCACCCAGACACTCCTCAAAAGATATTTTTGAGACAGTTTTAGAGAAATTTGAGAATAGATTGGGAATTAATAACACCTGGAAGCTATTATTAACATGTGACAATGGCATAGAAATTATGGAGAAAATGCCCCTATAAAGGGAGATATGACTAGATGCTTTGTTTTTGCTTGAAAGTATCTTATCAAAAACAAAGACCCAAAAAATATCATTAGGTGAAACAATATAGCAAAATCTTAATAACTGCTGAGTCTACATAATGGAGAAATACGACTCATTAAACTATTTGCTTTTCTTTTGTATATGTTTACATTTTTTTTCATAACAAAAGGAATTTAAAGTCTAAAGCTGAGCCTCCCCCCCCCCCCACCCCATTATGAGATGAGAGCCAAGAGGCCCTCCTGGGAGTCATCACCCTATGAGGTGGGAAAGCCTGGAATGGAAGGACAGGCCTCACCAGGCATAGAATCTGCTTTCTGCCCAGGGAAGGTCCAACAGCATCTTGAGAATATGAATGCAGACAAAACTCAGGAGCTTCAAGAAATGGATTCCAGGGTCATGTCCTCCGCATGGAGCTATCACTTCCACAGTCACACATTTCCCCCTGGAAGGAAATGCAAAAGCATCCCTAGACATTGGACCCCAGGGTCCCGTGGGTTCTCCTGGGAGCTTATTAAACTCCCACACTCCTGGGCTCCAACCCAGACGCACAGAACAGACTGAGCAGTGGCAGAGCCCCAGAATCTGGGTGTTTATTCATTTCCCCAGGGATCCTCTGGCAGCTGTGAACTGGGGTACCCAGAACCTCCAAAGTGAATCAGCACCCAAATCTCCCCAAAAAGGAACTTGGTCAACAAGCATCCCCTAACCTGCCCGAGGTCCTCATTCTTGTGCATTTCCCTCACTTTTGACAGCTTTGCCCTCTGGAGGTCTTGTGTGGAGGACTGTGCCCCCTGCCCCCTCAGAAAGAATGGGCCCCAGGGCTCTGGCTGGTAGGTGGAAGTAAAACCCAAGCTCCCCATGAAAGCCAGTCACTTCCTTAGGCTCTGGGGGACTCACACCGTCCCTGGCACCCGTGCAGGGTTGATGTGACCTCGCTCTCTTGCAAGGCACACATCAGCCCAACTTCTCCCTTGGATTCCTCTCTGCAATACAAACCCCCTGCCAGCAGCTAAGGGGCTCTTAGCCGGGAAATGTTCTAACAGAAGACAGGGAGGAGCCAGAGGATATCTGTTACAGCCATTATTTTCCACTCAGGATACTATTTTGCATCTTCACTTGAGGCCCATAAAACCCTAGAAGGAGGAGCCCAGAAATCCGCAGAGGGGAGTTCATTAAAACGAGGGCGGGTTGCCTTGGGCCGACCAAAGTGAAACACTGCCACCACATGGCCACTCTGGGTCATCACAGGCGCTCGCCCCCTTCCCCAGCGCCGCCAGTACCCGCGTGAGGCACAGGCGGCGAGATGGAAGGCACCTTCTCTTCTTGAAACTATTCTATTTATATTAATGGAAATACATTCACATGTCACAAAACTCAGAGGGTCCAAAAGCTCCACAATGGAACGTCAATCTCCCCACCTTGGCCCCAGAGGCATTAATTACCTGAGCATTTCTTGTCTAAGCCTGCGGGAGGTGCTGTAAGCACACACACGGATATCCTCATTGTCTACACCAATAAGGGCACGTTTGCCTATTGTGTTCACTGCTGTATCCCTGGCTCGCTGCAGACACTGAATAAACATACGCCCCGCCCCATCTGCAGCTTGATTTTTTTTCACCTACTGTAGCTCATGCAACAGTCCCTTTCTCTTGCAATTGACAAAATCCCATCTCTCACAAATACAACAGGAAAAAACGGTAAATAATAGATCACAGACAGAATTTTAACCAAATGGCTGTTCTTGCCCACATAAAATCATCTCAGACCACCCTTGGTGGAAGTCTCAGAAACTCCCTAGTCCAACCTCATTTTACAGATTAGAAAACAGAGAAGGAATGGGCCTTTGTGAGATTACACAGCACTTGCTTCCTGGGCTCATGCAGATTCACCTGAATACTTAGGGATCTATACCTTGTCATTAACCTCAAGTCCAGTGTCTCACCAGCATTGCTCCCTGTCCCTGCCCTAAGGGACCTGTTCTCAAGTGCTCAGCTCTAAGCCTCCTGCCAGCATTTAGCAGAAATCTGGGCTGATTCCACAGCACCCATGATCTGCTGCTAAATGCTGCAACTCCAAGGACCCTCTCTGGTCCTGAACACTCCTGGGCACCAGCGCACAAGATGAGCCAGACCAGATTAGCTTCAGCTGCCCTAAGAGCCCAAGTGGTCCTGCTTTGTGAGAAATTTTAGTCTTAACAAACCCCCCAAAAACCTTCTATGGGCCAAGTGGTTATAATCCTGAAACAGGTGGCCAAGGGAACTAACAGAATCCCTTCCAAAGATCTTTACAATTAGTTACAAGAGAATGCTGTGTATAATAATGAATCTGTAATGCCATTGTAATGCCCGAGGTCGCGAAACCCCCCACAAGAGACCACCAGAGTCCTAAGTCAAAGCCAAGCGGCAAGGGTCGTTTATTGCTGGCTCGAACCTGGTCCTCCGACCACTCGTCGCCGGTGACGCAAGAGGCCCCGAGTGAGGTTTTTACAGCCTTTTTATAGACAGGTACAAACAAGTTATGGGGAAGTTAGGGATTCTTTGCGGTTACGCCAAGCAGTTGTACAGAAGCGGAACAAGCTGGTTAAGCAAGTGGATTTAAGCTAAGTTTGTTTTTCTCGGACCAGGATAACTAGGCAAACAGTTTGCCCAGGTCTCTCATTTTTCTCTTTTCTCAAGTACCTGAGGAACCAAGGGGAAGGGGAAAATATGTTAAGCAAGCAGGTTTACAGAAGCGAGAAATGCCGGTTAGTTCATGTACAATCACTTATTCTATTACATACCAGACTACATTTAGGAAGTTTTACAACTTATTCTATTACATAGCGGGTCACATTCAGGAAAGGTTTCACAATGCTCGTAGCAAACAGCAAGCAAAACAGACTTCTCAACAAAAGATCCATAATAAGCAGAAAAGAGAATTTAGCTTTAAGCTAAGGCAGGACTGTCATTTGGATTTAAAGCTGTTCTTTTCACCATAAAACGTGAGGTAAAACAGTAAGAGACACTGAGGACTGCCTTGCATTTGAAACTCCAACATGCAATGACAGTATGCATTTTGCTATGAATATTTTATTAATTCATACAAGGTATGTATATTATACACCTAATTAGGCGATTAGGTGACCTGTATGTGCCACACTTCAAGCTGCTCTTAACATTGCTAACTTGAAGATTATCAGACAAAATGTTTACATTTACATTTCATGAGAAAGGAACCCAAACATTAGTTGTTTTTCCTTAATTGATACTTTCACAATTAATTGGGTACATTGCAAGCTTTAACTTTTTGGTTTATTATATAATGAATCGTTTGAAATTGCCCAACAAAGTATCCTTTTTTCTAATGATGTGCTGTTAGAAGTAAATGCTAACTGGTAGTTTTAAGGAATTGATCAGATCATTGTGCTTTATGAAAATGGAAAACGGAAAAGCCAGAATGTGTATGGAAGGAATCGGAATTGTGGAATCTGGTGTCTGAGAGAGGGAACCCTAGCACAACACCCGTGTTTTAATAAGAGGGGGAAACTGAGGCACAGATTGTTAAATGGCTTGTCCGAAGCCCCTCACTCATGTCACCACTCCACCACACGCCCTCTCTTTTGGGCAGCAGCTGGGAGGGCGGGGTCTCTGGTTTCTCATTCTCCCTCTGCAGCCACGTGGCTGTGAAATCCCAAGAAATTACCTACTCCCTCTAAGCCTCAGCCATCAGTATAATGAGGCCAGATGAGAAGACATCTATGATGCAGCGCCCCTCCCCCCCGCAAGACCCCTCCCATACTCATAAAACTAAGCATTAAATCCACACGCAAATCTGCAACATCATCTGTAAAACCGAAACCAGCCACAGCCTGCCGGCACTGGTTTTCAGCAGGGGCGCTCCGTCCACCGCACTCCGTACTTCTCATCAGTCTGGCCGCTGTGTTAATGCCATTTTCTCCACAGCCGTGCCTGACCCCACGCTGCCTTCCCAGCGGCAGGTCTCGGTTGGGAGCAAGGGCAAGGTTCTCTGCGGCAGGCCGCATCATCCTCCCCAAGTAATTTGCTAGGAGATATTTGGAGATATATTCAGAAGCCCTTGTCATCATGTGGGTTACAGCCGCCACCATTGGAGGGGAAGAGAGGCCAGGCAGAGTCCATGCTACCCCCAGATCCAGAAATGAACTCAAAGGTGCAGGCCAGCCACTGGGCAGGTCCTGGCTCCCTCTAGGTCAGCGTCATCCAGAGAGATTTGGGGGAAATTTAACCTCTGCCTCAGCCACTCTGGCTGTGTTATGGGTCCCTGGTAAGCTCCCAGGGAGGGAACAGCAGGACATTTCGTCACCTTCCTGGCTGGCTACATGGAAGCAAACACACCTGGAATAGCTCAGAGCCTGTGTCTTCTCACCCCGGGCATGTGAAGTGACCCTCCTCCCAGCTCCCACCACCTCGCCTCCCTGCCTTGCTCGCAGATCCCACCCCTACACCTCCCTCCAAGCTTTGACCACCAGCCCCATCTCCTGATAGTTTTGCTTACATTGTCCATGAATAGCTGAGAGGCTCAAATGCCAGCTCCTGCTAAGCAGTGCCTGAATGACATGGGTTTGGAAAAGTAACTGGCAAATGTGAAACACGGGATGCTTTGGGAGAAACCCACTTTCCATCACCAGACTTACCCTGGGTCTTTGGTTTCCCTGGGGGAGCAGGTACTTAAAGGTACTGAGTCCTGGGGCACCTGGGTGGCTCAGTCGGTTGAGCCTCCAACTTCGGCTCAGGTCATGATCTCAGTCTGTGAGTTCAGAGCCTGGAGCCTGCTTCGGATTCTGTGCCTCCCTCTCTCTCTGTCTCTCCCCCGCTCATTCATTCTCTCTCTCTCTCTCTCTCTCTCTCTCTCTCTCTCTCTCTCTATCTCTCTGTCAAAAATAAATAAACATTAAAAAAAAAAAATACTGAGTCTTGGGGCACCTGGGTGGCTCAGTTGGATAAGCATCAGACTCTTGATTTCAGCTCAGGTCATGATCTCAAGGTTTGTGAGATGGAGCCCTGTGTCAGGCTCTGCACGGTCAGTACAGAGCCTGCTTGGGATTCTCTCTTTCCCTCCTTCTCTACCTCTCTCTCTCTCTCTCTTTCTCTCTCTCTCTCTCTCTAAATAAACTTCAAAAAAAATTAAATAAATAAAATAACAACATTTTTTAAAAAAGGTAAGGAGTCCTCCCCAAGGTCTGAACAGGCCCAGAATGACACCCATGATCCCACCCAAGACAGGGAGAGGTCCCGACTGCCCATAGACTTTTGTCATCAACAGGATGGCCCACTGGGAGGTGGAGAAGTGAACCACCGAGCAAGGATATGCAGTGTGAGTGAGGGGGGTGCTCCCAGACCCCACTCTGCTCCAAGCCCTGTGCCCTAGCCAGGAGAGTGCACCTGTGGTGAGAGGTATGGGGGGTGGGGGATGGGGGGTGAGCAGCAACTTTTCTGTGCGCAAAAGTGACTTCTGCTCCAAAGTTGCATTTCCCAGGACTGTAGTTGGAGTTTTTACATCAGTGCAGAAAGGACACTTTCTCCCAGAGCTTACACACAGAGGCCAGCAGGGGCCCTGCTTCCCTGAAACCCTGGACATGCCTCCCTGTGTCCTCCCTGCAGGCCCTGCGGAGAGCACATTCAGTGCTGAGCACCTGCTGTCCCTTGCCAGCTGTGCAGGGTGAGGGCCGCTCCTGTCCCTCATGCAGACCCTGGACAAGGACCCAGAGACACCAGCCTTGACCCAGAGAAGAGTTTACTGCGGGTCCAGTGGCCCTTCCCTTTAGGAATGGTACTTGAGGCCATTCCATAAACGGTCCCATATCCAGTCAGTTTTTGAGGATTCTAGTTGCATGATCCATACAAAATTAATTAAATCTGACCTCTACGCTATGACTGCATCAGTGCCTCTGAACCCAGGCCCGGAAAGCTGGGGCTTTGTTGAGCTCACAGACAGAGAATGAAGTGATCTGTGCCTGCTTGCTAACAAATGTGTGTTTAATACATGTCTACATAGGGCAAAATTTGATCTGGGTCCATGTAATGTACCTTTAACTACTGGTGGCTACCATGATATACCAAAAAAGAATATAATCCCTGTGCATGACCCCACAAAGGGTCATTTCTTCAACATGAGAAGAAAGATGCAGGGGCCAGGAGAAGGTGGAGGGGCCCCAGGAAAACCCTGCTGCTCACAAACCTGCAGTTTCTGGAGAGCAATTCTACCAGGCAAGAAGCACCCAAGATCTGAAGTTTCCAGGACTCCAGGAAAAATCAGTCATGTCTTACCCACACTTTTTGAACTCTTAAAAACTCCCTAGGGAGTATAGAATGCAAAAATGATGCTATCTCTTGCTGTACCTGTCTCCCCTGGTTCATTCATCCAACGCACAATAGAGTCACTACCATGTGCCAGGCGCACTAAGGACTGAGGATTCAGCAGTGAACAGATCAACCTGATGTCTGATGACTTCTGCCGGGTTGGTCCCAAATAACACTTCACTGCATTACTGTACAATTCTGGTTAGAGCCCACTGGTCAGTGTCGCTGGTGGATGATGTTGGTGCTCTAACCAGACCCCTCAGACCCTTTTTACCATCTCTGTACTCTTCGCCTTCCCCGTGGGAGATCACTAGCCAGTGACTTGGGGAGGTGGGCTTTAAAGCCCAGCTCCTTCATTTTCAGGTCTACTTTTGCAGCCAGATGTAACTTCCCCTGCAGAGTTGGTAGCCACCAGGCTGAAGCCACCCCAGCCGGACTTGATGTGCCCTCGCTGCTTCACTTGGTTTCTTCCCTCCCTGTCATGCCCTCCTCCCCAGAAGGGCTCCTTACCGGTCTTCCCGGAAGCACACTTCTCATATGTCAATTGCACACAAATCCTCATCTATGGCCTGTTTCTAAGAGCCACTGAAGACACCGATCATAACCCCATGCATGCTTACAACTGATGCCCTCACCCTATCACACCCCAGCATCACTGAGTGCCTTATATCTCAGCACTGCTGGGTTTGGACAGCACCCACTGAAGATGACTTGGTCCCACACAGGAAGGTGGCATGGCAATTTAGCACAACGCACACTACATTCAAAGAAGTGGTGATGGGTGGGGGTGGGGTCTGGGGTAGGGCGAGTACAGGGAGTGAGAGATCAACTCTGCCCAGGGCTTTGGGGAAAAGGCTTCTTACTTATAATAAACCCAGCATGAGGATAGGATGCAGAAGCCCTCCTTCCTCTGACCTTCAACCTCCATGCCTTTCACCCTCTCCCAAATAATTGCTTTAACTTACTTTAACTCATCTGTGTCCCTTCTTGCTCATCTGGTCTCATCACCCCTTCTTCCTTCTGTCTGCTCTTGACCAAACATCCTGGAGAACCAAATCCTGCTTCCAAACAAGACTCGGAGCATCCGGACACGCTTTCGGGAAGGATATATTCCTCCCAAAGTAAGGAAAGCAGGAAGCCTTCATGTAGGAAGACCTCGAAGGATGAGTGGGATTTTTGTATAGATCCCCAGGGAAAAGGAAGTGCCAGTGAAGAGAAGTGAGACAGGAAGGGAAGGGTAGCAGAGGTGATGGCTTTGGCTTAGCAGGATGCAAGAGCAAGAAGGGGAGAGAGGGTGGGCCAAGGTTTGCATGGCCTGACATGCCAGGCGCAGGGAGGTGGCCCCTCAGCGGGTGGCATGTGCGTGGTGATGGCGGATGGAAAGAACAGGGGTGGGTGGTGAGGGACAAGCCTCTGAAAGAAAGGTTGTTGGGTGTGGAAGTTGATTCAGTCTAAGAAGGGCAAGGGGCTCAAAGCCCTTGAAGAAAACCGGGAAGATTTGGGCACATGGATAATTGTAAAGTCACTTGAAAGGGCTGACACAAGAGTGGTTAAGAGCACCAGCCCACGGGCTATGTGACCTTGGGCTCGTTGCTGCCATACTCTGAGCCTCCATTTCCCTCCTCAGAAAAATGGAAATTACAATAATCTGCACTGTGATGGTTCATTTTATATGTCAACCTGACTAAGCCAAACATGTGATCAAACGTTATTGTGGGTGTTTCCGCTAAGGTGTTTTGGGATGAGGTTAACATTTTAACAGAAGAGGAAAGCAGATCACTCTCCCTAGTGTGGGTGGGCCTTGTCCAACCAGTTGTAGGCCTGAATAGAACAAAAAGACTAACCCTCCCCCAAGTAAGAAAAAAGTTCTCCAGAAGACTGACTTTGGACTTCATCTGTACCAACTGCCCTCTTAGGTCTTAAGTCCTCCAGCCTACACTGCAGATCTGAACTTGCCAGCCTCCGTAACCACATGAGCCAAGTCCTTGTAATAAACCTCTTTCTCTATAGGTGCATATCCTATTGGTTCTATTTCTGATATACATACTTCACAGCATTATTGTACCAGTTAAGTGAAATTATACTTGCAAACACTTAGAATTATGCCTAGCACATACTAAGCATTAGTCTGAGGAGTTTAGATACATGTAATTCAAGATTATTCTTCATCTAGGAAGGCTGGTCATCATTTGAAGACCCCAAATCAGGACTCCACACTGCAGAAGTGTTCAATTAGTGATACTCAGAAGAGCAGCAATCATAAATCCATACTCCTGTTAAAGGAAAACCATGCACCAAGCCTCTGAAAGGTAGAGGGATAATCGCTTCACATTTTATGTCCTGCTGGAGCACCTCCCAATAAGCCTGTCTGACCCTCACCTGACTCCCCCAGAGACTGTCACTGCATGTTTGACTAACAATCCATGATAAGATGGCAGGCAGTTTTTAGCTCCATCAGGTTAGAAGTTAAACCTCCAGAAATCGATAAGTTGTTTTGACTTTACGACCTGGTAGAAAAGTGAGCCCCAAAGCTGTTGCAGTTTCCCTGGGCTTTAGAAAGTTACAGTCATATATATAACCTGGCTGCCTGATTGGGTATCCATTTCCCTAAAGACCACAAATCCTTCCCCTTCAAATGCTCTGAGCCAGCACTTTGGTCTCCCTGCTGGTTCCCTCATTAAAGAATTAAATCAAGTCTTGACGCCCGGTTTCTATCTATTTGTAGGAAAATTATGTTATAACACTCCAGAGGGAGTCAAATATGCACCAGGAGGTTCATGATTTCACACAAGATGTTTGAAATAATGTTTCCATGGATGAAAACGTGCTGCCTGAGAAATGTGATTGTCACAGGGCTTGTCAAACTTTTTTTTGTCTTACTGTCCCCCTTAAGGAGCCTTTTTTGACATTTTTTTCCCCCGATCATCCCCTTCCTGTGAAACTTTTGTACAACCCATATACTTAACATCTGTTTGTAATACTGTGACTCTTTGGGGAGCCCCAAACTATTGTGATAGCTAATATCTTCTCATTCCCCCTGAAGGACTCATGTGTTCTCAATGGGGCACTATGACCTCCCGGGGGCGGGGGGTGGATTTTAAGCTCTACCCTCCCATCCATTTGATCTTGAGGAAGTGGCTTCCTTACTCACAAGACAGTTGTGGGACACAGACACGGGAAGAGAGGGGAGAATCACTCTTCCTAGATGTATCTGTCTGGGCAGAATAATTAGAGTCTAACCCCCGTCCCAGTCACCACTCCACTCCCCTATATATGGACACACTCATCTCACTTTAGTGTTTTGGTTTTGGGGGATTCTGGTTCATTTGTTAGGTTGGTATGTTGGTTTTGGCCCTTCAGGTCACAATGTCTTGAAGCTCACCTTTCTCTATATATATTGCTAACTATATATTATTCATTATTTATTTCAATTTAATTCCATGTCCCTTACAAATGTGAAGCACTGATAGCCAGCCTCCCCAGTTAACTGGCTTCGGGCTGTGTCCCTTTAACGCCTGCTGTGAGTGATAATTTCTGAGGAAGAGACCATTTGTGTCCACAAGGAACATTGTACAAAGACTGGAAGACCTACCAAAGCAATACTTCTACTCAATGCTTATACTAATATAAGAGTGGTGGTGATAAAGTCACAGCCTTAGAGGTAATCTTCACAGAACTCAAGATTATTTCCCAATCATGTGATTTTGTCCTTGAAATTTGAAAGACTGTCTCACTTCAGATTCTAAGAACCCTGGCTTCACCTAGCTGGGAAGAAAAGAAGCCCTGAGAGATTCAGGTCTGCTGTTCTGTGGAGATCCAATCAGGGCCAAGATCTAAAGGTGATTCCATGCCATGGAAGGCCCTTCTCTGGGAACCGGAAAAAGAGCCTACGGTGGTATGCACAGAAGGAAGGAGGGGATGCAGGAGAGAGAACTCCCATCTTAGCCCCAGGCCCATCAAAGCTTCTCTTACTAGACTGAACCTCAGAAGTTTGGTTAAAAAAAAAAAGGCAGGGCAAGAGTTTCAAACAGGCCATAAATCAATACTGATGCAAGAGAAAACAATGAATATATGACTAGTAGAGCCAGTAGGGTGGTTTAAGTAACAATGGAAGAGAAAAAGTGGGGAAAAGCATTTTTCCTTGAAGTTTCAAGCTAGCCCAAGGAATAAAGGACAAAGAAGTCAACCCTAGACTCCTCAGACCAGCCTACTTGGTTTTCTTCCCACTTTGTTGGTCCTTCACACCCAGTTGTCTTCCAAATGCTTTTGCAATCTAGTTGTGTTCGCTACATGACTAGATTTAAATAAGATCCATTTAGGGGTGCCTGGGCAGCTCATTTGGTTAAGCATCCGACTATTGATTTCAGCTCAGGTTATGATCCCAGAGTTGTGAGATCAAACCCCCCATTGGGCTCCATCCTAAGCGTGGAGCTTGCTTGGGATTCGCTCTCCCTCTCTCTCTGCCCCTCCCCCACTCACATTCACATGCCTGTCTGTGTGCAGGCGCACGTGCTCACTCTCTCTCAAAAGTGAATGAATGAATGAATGAATGAATGATATCACTTTAATATGGGGAATTAAGCCCACCAGTAATTTACACGCACTTTCAGCACAAAGAGGAAATTAAGATTGGATTGCCATCATCAGAATTTTCCTCCAAAATATGAGCAAAAGAAAATATGCAATGAGTGAAATTTTACAACTGCTATCTGGGGTCAAATGAAATAAAATCTTTTGATGTCCTAGAGAGAAACATTTTCTAAATTGTCCAGAGTAACAAAGTAAAGTTAGTCCTGCATACTTATTATAGTCACAAAGATTCACCAGATTTGTCAGCGCACTTTCCCTGTGGTGCAATACATTTTGTAAGCTTCCTCCTACTGCCACTGAAAATGTAGATTTTTCAGCTTTAGGCTGAATACAGTCAATTCTTGTTATTCATGTAGTTATGTTATAAATTCACTGTAATGTAGATGATGAGCACTGAACCATTGTTGCTAGGGAAACTGCAGGGTCCAGTTCCTGCAAAACTCTGGTCACATTTTTATCAATAGATCAATACATGGCTTTGTTTTGTATGTGCTTCTGTTTAAAGACCCTTTACTGAACATATAGTGCCGATCAATTACCATTGAACTCACGGCCAACAGCACTGTACCTCATGCCAGAACATGGCTTATTTAACACATATTTTCTCTGTATGATACATCATAGCCTTTTTGCCACAGGAAACACTAGACAGCATTTAAGTACAGTGCTTGAAGACTATTTCAAATAGTGAAATCACCAACAACAAGCACAAAAATGCAAAAAGTGCAGCACTACATAGATTGGGGAAAGGACCCTTATTTACAGTACGGGAGCTGAAACAAGAAGTCAGCCTTGTCACCTTGTCCGACCTCAGTCGGGAACGTACGGCTCAAACTTTTCTCCAGTCTGCACATGTCCACAAATGACTTGGCAAAAGTGCCATGAGTCTTGGCTTCAGAAGTAGAACGCAGTGATTCAATTTATGTCAATTTATTATTAGACCAACCAAAGAATTTAGAAGGGAAGACAAAGACATTATTCTGCCCCTACAGTAGCCAGTTTTATCTGTTAGAAAGTTGGTCCTGTCTTGCCAGGCCACAGAACTTCATGGTTAAGAGAGGACCCTAGAGCCTGACGTCTGAATTTGAACCCAGAACCATCATTTACAAGGCTTGGGCTTCAGCAACTCAACCTCATTAAGCTTCAATTTCCTTATCTTTAAAACGGAAATGACAAGAGTACCTACCTCATTGGGTTGTTACAACACTTAAATGATGCAATAAGTTTAAGGCACCGAGCCCTGTGCCTGTCATGTTCCCTCATCCTCAGTAAGTGAATATGATACTGAGTTGAACAGAACACACTTCCCATAGTACTCACACAGAAGGTAATGCAGGAAAGTGATGTTTCAGAGTGGTTTTCAGAGCAATGAGCTGTGCTGCCAACACCGTGAGAAAGAAGATAAAGTAGTGTTCTTAAAAGATTCATGTCAGGGGCGCCTGGGTGGCTCAGTCAGTTGAGCACCAGATTTCAGCTCAGGTCATGATCTCACGGTTGGTGAGTTTGAGCCCCACGTGGGGGCTCTGTGCTGACAGCTCGGAGCCTGGAGCCTGCTTCGGATTCTGTGTCTCCCTCTCTCTCTGCCCCTTCCTTGCTCATGCTCTGTCTCTCTCTGACTCTCATCCCATCTCACTTATTCTTTCTGGCTTTCAGGAAAGCATAACTCATGTACCTAGTGATTCTTTTAAAGTCCAGAATTCTAGGGGTGCCCAGGTGACTTAGTCGTTTAAGTGTCCGACTTTGGTTCAGGTCATGATCTTGCAGTTCATGAGTTCGAGTCCCATGTCGGGCTCTGTACTGACAGCTCAGAGCCTTGAGCCTGCTTCTGACTCTGTCTCTCTACCCCTCCCCTGCTCTCGCTTGCTCTCTCTCTCTCTCTCTCTCTCTCAAAAAAAAAAATTAAAGTCCAGAATTCTTTTCTTTTCAGTTGATTGCCTCTCTTCTGTTCCCTAATCCTGCTGGTCTCAGAAACTTACCAGAATCATGACATGCTCTAACACCATTTCCTAGACTGTATCTGACCAACTTGCAGTGAGCACAGTCCCTTAACACTCCACACCAAGCAACAATAATAAGACAAGAGTTTGCTCTTGGACATCACTGCTTCAGCAACACTTAAACCCATCAGGAAATCCCTTAAGAGGAAGAGATTTTGCACCGAGAGTGTGTGAAATAGTCTCACTCGGGTGAGCTCTTCCAGTCCAGGCTGAGTAAAGACCATGTAATTGGAAAAAAGAAAAGGAGAGAGGGGCCCGAGTAGCCCTCCACATTGCACCACTCTACTGCCTTACTAGGAGGCTGTTACAAGAGAACACCAGCAGCAAGGCACCACCAGGTTCTCCAATTCACTCCTCAGACAGGCCTGTGGATGACAGTCCTGGTATCACAATTTTGAATCACTTTTTCCATTTTTTCATTTTGTATGCATCATCTGATCAAGAGCAATGACTGAGATTATTGCCCTCATCTTGCAGACAAGGAAAATTGAGCTGCAAAGTTCTATGCCTTAGGCACCAGAGTACAGTCCCCCTCTCTCCTGACTGCCTGGCAAGATCATTATAGGAACACGAACTGAGGGGCGCCTGGGTGGCTCAGTTGGTTGAACGTCAAACTCTTGACTTTGGCTCAGGTCATAATCTCACAGTTCATGGGATCGAGCCCTG